CACCTGCAATCTCTATTCAGAAATAGACATATTTGGGGAAACAAATATTCATCAGTTTTCAAATTCATTGGTAAGAACCGTTTTTAAGTTTACAATTGGGGCCTAACGCTCAATCACAACAAAACCAACACACGAGTTGTATTTAAGCTAAAACCAGGACTCTTTAAAACCGGGTTCTAATAAGGGTGGTAGATCACAAATACCTTATATATACTCTTCAAAAAAAGAAACTTTACACTGACTTTCAAAATGTAATATAATGCGATTGTTTCAAAATAGGACACAGAAACCATAATTGAAACACTGTTTGAAGATCAATGTACACAATGTTCAAAACATTAATCGTGTCACCTAGACAGACACACGTACACGATACAGTTAGTGTCACATGGGTACAGAAAATGTCAGTATCGGTTGTGCCCACCACGTGCATCAATCACCGCTTGACACCGACGACCCATAGATGCAATCAAGTTGTCAATAACACGCTGTTGGATGTGCTGCCATTCATGCTGAAGTGCATCAATAAGCGCCGGAAGTGTTTGGGGCTGTTGATTCCTTCTGCGAATGCGTCGATCCCACCTATGCTCAATCGGGGACAAATCTGGTGACCGGGCTGGCCAAGGTAATGTCTGGATGTTGTTATGCTGTAAGAAGTCCTGACAAACACGTGCAATATGCGGTCGAGCGTTGTCCTGCTGAAACTCTCCGCCATGAACGTTGACGTGAGGAAGAACGTAAGGCTGTAGGATCAAGTCTCTGTAACGCACACCTGTCAATGCACTTGCCACATGCACGAGAGGCTTCCTACCACCGTGATGAATTCCAGCCCATACCATGACACTCCCGCCGCCAAATGGGACAACCTGATGCACACAGTTTGGGGCGTAACGTTCACCCCGATGTCTGTAGACACGTGCGCGCCCATCAGCACGTGTGAGTAGGAAACGGGACTCGTCAGTAAACAGTACATTTCTCCACCTTGCACGTGCCCATCTAACCATCTGTTGGCACCAAGGCAGACGGTCCGCCAGATGACGTGGGGTCAATACATGACGTCGAACAGGTCTTCGTGCAAAAAGTCAAGCCTCCCTCAGTCTGTTGCGTACCGTTTGATCTGATATTCTGCGTACCCCAGGGACCTGTGATTGTAGACGTGGCTGTGGTAGTGCGGTCTCGGAGGTGTCGCAGCCTGATGAATCGATCTTGTGCTTGGGTTGTCACCCTTGGTCTTCCTGACCTTGGTCTGTCGTCAACTCTGTTGTTGTTGTTGTATCGGGTCCACGGTGCAGAGATTGTCTGTCTGGATACGCCAAAGTGCCTGGCCACTTCTTGCTGAGTTGCTCCAGCTTGTAATCTCCCAATGGCGTTGTTCCGTTGAGCTGCATTCAGTCTTGGCATTCTGTCACCGTCTCTACAGCCGTTATAAGGACTGTATGAACAGCCGTTGATGTGGATTTTTATACCCATTCAGCAGGGGGGCCTGCATGCCTAAATGCAGGATCCTGTGCTGCACGTTTTTTACAGGCGGTTGCGTTTGGATGAAGCTGTAAAATTGATCCCCAAACGCTACGTTTATGTGCTTTGCATGTGTTTTCGCGAATTATAGACACATCATCTTTCTGTTTGACTTATTTGGAGTTCTCTCCCTTGTCAAACTGAGCGCGAGGCCGGCTTTTACTTGGAGCTGCTAATGTAAATAATGAACTTTTATCAGTAAAATATGCATTGTTTGATAACATGAATGATATCTGATACAGAGAACACGAATAAACATAAAGGTTAGTGAGTGCAATTTGTTCCGTTTAGCGTACATGACAAGTACCGCGATACCCCGAGGTAGCAGGCTATATATACTTTCAAGTTCTGATTGTTCCAACCAATGTGCAGAAGGCTTGGCATTGAGGTGAAAGAGGGTTATGATGGGATACATTAAAACGAACTATTTGAAGTCAAGAACTACCTATTTATCCAAATTGGTTCATTTATAAGCATGTTAGACATGTTGAATGTAGGATTACCCATTTTGTGCGCGGAGAATGTCCTGTCAATTGTATAAAATCAAAAATCAAAAATCGAAATAAAGGTTGTTTGAATAAATACAGGTTAGTGCACAACACTACCCGAAATCTCAACATCCAGGAACATGATTTTCAGGCTCATATGATTTTTACATGTGACTCATGGATTGATGAATATTAAAACCCATCTTTTAGCTTTTATAGTATGTCACTTGGGATAGAGTTAATAAAATGGCCCTCCTCTAACTGTGTGTGGTCAGGGTTATGCTAGCTGAACTTCAACTATACATAATAATATTTCATTGAAGAAGGTGCATAACCGTCAATGATAGTCTCAGGACAGTGGTATCATTAAAGTATGAACTCTCTTAATTAAATCGAATCACCTGTCAACTGAACTTGGTGTAACTCCACTGCCAAGTCAAAAACGCAGCGAATACTATATAAAGTGTATAAAACATAAATTCAGGAGAAGAATCAGTCTCGATTATCTGTTGAAACAGTCCATTGCACCTTAAAGGCGAAATAGCGGTGAATATTATTTCATGCCACCAAGTGTTCTCGAAGGGCATAAGCATGTACTGGCTTACAAGTAGCAGCCGCGACTCACACAATTTGTGTAAAAAGCAAGTGTTTGTTGCCTGAAGACGCACAGAAGTTCTCCTGTCATGCGAAGGCGGCTTGTAAACCGCAAAAAAAACCCGTCACCATGGAAAGATATATGAGAAACCTTACTTGTCCAAACACTGTAAACATAATTCGAGACATGTCAAAACTGATCATCAAGGTTGAAATTAAAGTGTCATATGTTCTTAAAGTGAAACACAACACTAGTCTCTGAGAAAATGGTATCACAAGTCAGCATCTCGTGTGTCCGCCATGTCGATTGATTACTGCCATGTACATGGAATGGATGAGGCGGGTGATGAAGGCCATAGGCACTTGACCCCACACTCTGAGGAACGCCTGACGCAGTTCAGCTGCAGTTGTCGGCCTTGGTCGGGCGTCATTCAGCCTTCAGCCTTTGAATCTCGGTGCTCAGTGGGATTTAAATCGGGACCGAGGGCAGGCCATTGCATGGTTCTGATGCCATTCTGCTGGAGGAAGTCTCTTGTCTCAATGTCGGCACGGGTGTTATCATGCTGAAACTCGTGGTTGCGGCGACGTGCCAAATGAGGTATGGCGTGTGGTCTTAAGACTGAGGGCAGGCCACTGCATGGTTCTGATGCCATTCTGCTGGAGGAAGTCTCTGGTTGCTCGCAGTGTGGGCACGGGTGTGATCATGCTGAAATTCGTGGTTGCGGCGACGTGCCAAATGTGGTATGGCGTGTGGCGTGTGGTGGTCAATGTACCGAGCTGCTGTGACACCATTGCCTCTCCCTGGACCGATGTTCTGGAAGACCACAGGGCCGACCCTCTGTGCAAGAACAATCCTACCCCACACCATGATGCTCGGACCCCACGAGTCTTTCTCAACAACACAAGCATCCGAATAACGTTCCCCACGGCGTCTCCAGACTCGTGGTCTTCCACTACGTGGTCTGTCATCTGTAGTGTTGGTGGTCTGGTACCGTTGCTGGAGCCTGTATATGGTCCTTACGTATACTTGAAATGCATTGGCTACTTGCCGGGCGGTTTGTCCAGCTTGCAATCGCTTAGTGTCGCTGATTTCCTCTCATGTGGTAGCAATTCAATAACGAATGAATGTTATCCGATGAGGGTGGATTTTTATAGGGCAAGAAATGGGGGAACGCATGTGCATTTCAATTTGCACGGAACTCACGTGAATCGGGTTACTATGGCCGTTGCCGTAATGCGTTTGGGCGATCGGTTTTATTGTCATCTGCCTTGGGGTTTTTTCATCAAATTTCATTTTTCCGGACAAGGTAATGTTAAGTTTTAGAAACTTTGACAAAAATTACCCAGATATTTAAAGGACAACTTTTCATGCAATGTTACTTGGGGTGACGTTTCTCTTTTGCGGTTCAGTATATTTTTGTATTATCCGATACAAAGTGAACATCTGGTTTGATGTCAACTTTTGTTTCCTGAATCCAGCTCCTTTCGATGATCGACTTTGTCAGTGTACCTACTGTGTTTCATTTTTTATACGAGGGCTGGTCAAAAAGTTCTCAGCCTGAATAACTATTGGCCATAACAAAGTAAACTAGTCAATGTAGGACACTGTTTGAGTTGTTCATTGGAAGTGTTTTTGGTCTGTTGAAGCCGTTTGTATATTAGTGACAGCCAGCTGAACGTGATAGGGGTCCAAATGGACACAGAAATGGAGCAGTCATCAATTTTGTTACTTTAGAGAAAAGTACTCCCCTAAAAATTCATGACCGTATGTCACAAGTGTATTGGGATAAGTGCCCTATCTTTTCCACTGTTAAACATTGGGCAGCTTTGTGTACGGCTGGGAGAAGAAGCGTTGATGTGATGATGACCCTCGGTCTGGACGTCCCTCAACTTCCATCAATGAAGATTTAATCAAGGTGATAGAAGAACTTATTCAGATAGACGTATTACCATTGCTGAACTTGAGGAAGACACAGGTGTAAGCCATGGGTCCATTGAAACTATTATTCATGAACATTTACAGATGAATAAGATATCTGCTCGTTGGGTGCCAAAGTTTCAAAAACTCTGATCCTAAAGAAAAAAGAACTGACAATGCCAGAGAACATTTAGAGCTTATTGAGCAGGATTTCGTCTAATTCAAAACGAGATTAGTAACGGGTGATGGAACATGGGTCTACCACTAGGATCCCGAGTCAAAACATCAATCAATGAAAGGGCACCATTTCACTTCTCCGACACCAAAGAAATTCAAGTCTTCAAGATCAGTGAAAAAAGATAGGGTCACTGTATTCTGGGATGCAAAGGGTATGATCCTTGTTGATTATTTAGAAAATCAAAAGACCATTACCAGTGCCTACTATGCCTCTTAACAAACCTTTTCTTCTGTTTTCTACTCAGGTTGTCGTCTGAGCCCAGTGACAGGCCCTTGTCAAAGCCAGATGAGGAGGTACTTCTATAACATCACATCCGGTCAATGTCAGCCCTTTAGTTACAGTGGTTGCAGAGGAAACGACAACAACTTCCACACACTCAAACAGTGTGTTGGTTCTTGCATCTGTGCCCAGCCTGCTATTGGCAAACCTTGCAGCAGTAATAACGTCATGAGGCTACAAAGGATATATTTTGACTCTAAGTCTGGCCAATGCAAACAGCTGGCGTATGGAACATGCCAGGAAAATAGCAATGTGTACCCCAGCCTTCATCACTGTCAGCAGACATGTTCGCTCTGTCACTTGATCAAAGACAGTGGGCCATGCAGAGGCAGTTATCGTAGGTTCTACTTCGATACCACTCACAACAGATGTGTTGAGTTTTTCTATGGTGGATGTGGTGGTAATGGCAACAATTTTATAAGGAAAGCTGAATGTGTAAAAACGTGTTCTCAAAAGCGAAACATTTCAATTCGGATTGTTAAGAATGGACAAATGCAAAAGCTTTCAGAACCATTTCTAAATATGTTAAGATTGAGATATCCAAATAAATCAAGTATCATTGGTCCAATTTCAAAACCGGTTGCAAGTGTACAATTACCTAAAACGTTGTCATTACGTCCAGGCGGCTTTCAAATACCTTTTGTTTCATCACACACAAACAACCAAACTTCCAACAATGGTAAACATCTTACCTTACAAAACATCCCGAGAGGAGTGGACAAGCCAAAACGTCACCTGCGAGTATTCATGGAACACGCACCAAAAGTGACCCACCATAAAGAAGTTACAAATTCAGCTGAAGAAGCAGGTATTACAGAGGAACCTCCAGAAAACGAAGCCAGGAAAACCTATCCTTCTTCAACTACACCACCACCTCGAAGCACACCAAGAAAAATTCTATTCCGATTGAGGTTTGGAACGACAAATAAAGAGAAACTAAAATTTACCACAACCACAAACCTTCCAATTCAAGGAAAGGGTATTAAGCCCAATGAACAAGCAACACCAGCCTTTTCTGTTTTAGAGGTTTCCAACACTTCAGAAAAACGACAGGTACTAAACAAATCTTTGCTTGGACCTAGCTGGACTGTGCGTGGTGGTAGGAGAAGTGCTATGGCAAGGGACAAGCAGCCATATTTATCTGGATATATAAATAATCCGATAGGTTGGACAGTAACTGGAAAACCCACAACTACAACACCGATACAATTGACCACGTCACCTGTAAGTACAGGAAGTTCCCATGCCTCAAGAACACGTGCAACTCTAAATGGACAGTCTGCTGAACTACCTGCATCAGTAACTAACATGTCAAGCCTCACTACCTCTACTGCCGTAAAATTCATTTTGAACCTTATCAGTACACCATACAGCCTGATGAATCATAATCATGGTATGGCGTAAATACAGCTGATCACTCTTTCAAAGACACCCTTCACAGATCTGCATCAAGCCAGCCACGAGTAAAGCAATATATCGAATTGCAAAGACATCATCAAAGTATTGTAAGCAGTAATGCGGTTTTCATTTCGACTTGTTGACACCCACATCCCTTCAGTTGTAAGTGGTGTGTGTTACGTAAATAAAGCAGGAGCCCTTCATGGGGCCTTTTACCCACACTTGACAACGTCTAGTTTTGGCGGATGACCTATTAACCCCTGCAGAAATAAATAACTCTGCATTTTTATTTACATACTTTTCCCCATAGATAATTACGAGGAAAGTTTTAACGTTAGTGAAAAGGGGACTTTTGAAACCCTTATTTCCACATATGTCATCGATCCGAATTGCGTGGTTCAATGCTCATGATATTAATCACTGGATTGTCTGGTCCAGACTCAATTATTTACAGACCGCCGTCATATAGCTGGAATTAAATAGTGTGGCGTTAAACAACAATCCAACCAACAAACATATGTAGTTTATATGCACAATGAATTACAAAGAATACTTTCAACAATACACAGAATGACGCTTCCACTATTGCTTTTTAATGGTGAAACCATTGCGACGCCACGGGCGAAGAGAATAATGATACTTGATGTGTCCGGTTTGAGGGGAAGATCAACCATTTGCAGGTAGTGCTGGCAGTCGTTCGGCTTTCATATTTTGTCTGTATTCTTGACGAATCGGAACGTCGTTGCGTTTCTAACCGTGTGTGTAATTCGCAGACGATGCGGGATAACATTTACCTATTCCTGAAATGCCATACATACATTTCTGAACAAATAATCTATTTCGGATCATGACCATTTCAATACTACTATATCGCAATCTAAAAATATATTTGTCATGAAGTAAACGTCTGTTTGAAACAGTGACTTATTTCAACCACTGTTGTTATGGAAATTTGTTGAAATGATATTTCTGAAACTATATCAGCATTGCCGCGCATTATTTAAAGGTAATGTTCATTGTATTGTGATTAGTAATGTAAAAAAAACGGGTTGGAGGAACTACTTCACTTTGAAGCAGTTGAGTTTACTGTGTGTGCACGTTCATTATCGACTGTACATAATGTTATAGGAATGATATACATGTTATATATTTTAGACATTACATATATTTCTTTTTGCGTGTGGTGTTAAACAGAAGATGGATAATATATTTGCTTGATCTGGCAAAAACAACAACATTTTCTTGCACAAGTAGCTGCAGACAAAAGTAGAAATACTCGATTTGCGAATTAAGTGTATCTGGATAATATAGATTCTTACTAATGTCATTCGAATACACAAAATGACGAGAAAGGGATGGCATTAATAAAGTAATGAAAAATATACTTGTTTTGAGATGTTAATTATAATAATTAACGATCATCATAATTACTCAGATGATGATCAGTAGTTGGCTTTTGAAAACGTTCTATTGTAAGAAGGAAATACAAATCTAAAGCACAGTTCATCACTCGTGCCTATTTGCATCAACCATATTTTAGGTGAGATGAGGTGAAAAGATTATTGCACTTTTATGGTGACGTGCATACACGTGTGTGGCTGGTTGTACTAGTCCGGACTAATGCCGATTTCATAGTGCTAGCCCCCTGAGATACCATGCCGCAGTTTAACATGAATGCACCATTATAGCCCCTTAATTACGGGCGCCAGACAGGGTAACAACCAGTACCATAATTTAACGTCTTTTGGTATGACGCGGCCGGGGATCGAACCACGGACCTTCCGCTCTCTGGGTGGACGCTCTACCACTAGACCATGGAGGCGTTCCAATAATATTTTATAGTATATGATATTAATCATTACAACTAAGCACAAATACGAAGACTGTTATGACACACAACGTATTTATGATTTGTAACAACATTTTCAGGCATCCACACTGTCCCTTCTTTGGGTGAATACTGAATAATGGCATGTGAATTAATAATGTTAACTCCCATACTCGTATTCACTCAACGAAGGGGAAGAAGAATTCCTGAAAATGCCGTTACAAATAATATAATATACATGCTGATATATTTTCAAAGGTTAAAAGACAATTCTATGTAACATCTTCAGGGATAATTATTGTCCCTTCATTGGGTGAATACTGAGTAAGGGATTGTAAGTCAATGTAAACGTCACTAGAAATAAGAAATATATAATATACATTCTGATATGTTTACAAGGGTATTAAAGAAGTCAATAAATCCAAAGTAAAACCAGTGATGGGGCTGGGCGTTCTAACTAAAATCTGACAGGGAAATAATATGACAATGTAACAAGAGAAACATCAATGTGTCCATTTTGGGACAATGGTGATGTGTAGGCAGAAGATCTGACACTGAGTATGTGGATGCATTGGTCACCTGGTCACTGTTAGTGACTGGCTTGTTTGTCCTTTTTATTTACGGTAATTGATATTGGTGTGGAGAAGTTTAGTAGAGATTTCTTACGATTATGAAAAGAGTTTATGCGCTTTAATGTACAAAGTTTGTGTTATAAGTGGCATGACAAATAATGCCGCATACAAGGCCAGTATTTTAGATGAGGAAGAATCTGCCAAAATCACGCATCATTACTATCAACTGATGACATACTCTAAAATCTGAAGACATTTCCATTCCCCTTATGTAAATAATTCTAAGGCTCCATAAAGTATGTACAAAGAGAGATATATTGCTGGGTCCAGCAAATGCACCACCAAATCCATCTCTCAAAGATTAACCATAATGTTTAATACAATCCAGGAAGGACGTGATTTATATTCACTGAAAATGTTTCAGACAAGTGGATTAATACCATGTGGATTCTTAGGAACTCAACGGATTTGCTTAACTTTTTACAATCTCAGAAAAGAACCAAGTTCAATTATGTCAAAAAGTTTGATTTTTCACCTGTGTACACCATTATCCCATAACAGACTTCATTCTCTGATGCATGGGGTATCTTTTACAAAACGTGCTGACCACAGATATTGTCACCTTCTATCTTCAGAAGTTCAGAACAATTTGTCAAAAATGAAAGCAAATGCTAACTGAAAATCACTGAGAAAACAATATGTGAAAGTTTGGACTTCTTCATTGATAACATCTTTGTAACATTTGGGAAGTAATACACTTAGGCAAGAAGTAGGCATCCACGTGGGAACCAACTGTGCTCCCCTTCCTGTCGATCTGTTTCTTTAAACATATGAATCGGAATATCTGCTCGGACTGTCAAAGTAAAAAAATAGTAATTTGTCCAAGAAGTTTAACTTCCGCTTCAGGCATATGGATGCTCCCCTATCTTCAATAACCAGGAAATAGCCAACTCCCTCCCACACTAATTTACCCGCTAGCATGTGACCTATGAGACCGCCTCAATTCTTGTGGATATGGAATGGATTTCGCCGATTTCCTTCAAGTGCATAAGTTCATATTTTAAATAATTAAAATTAACATTTCTAAGTAATACAGATAAAACAGTCGTTTCATATTTTTCCAGCTTTCCTGAACCCAAGATGCTAATTACCTAAATAACCACATATAATAATAACAGGAAATTAGTATTCTATAAAATGTAAGGAGTATATTTTCTTATGATGATTTATGTATGTCACTCTCCTTTAAACGACGCGCCTGTCTGTGTGTGAACATTACAGAAATAACCCACTCCGGTGACATATACACCTCACTGAATGTACTTCACTCAATCATCTGCTTGTCTACGTTAACACGCACAGCTCTATTTCAGGTTTATGTATACGACAATCAATCAACCGCCTCCAAACTTAATGTGAAGGTTACCAAAGTTAATCATTGTCAGAGTGACTAGGTCCCAGTCAGTCCTGTGGCAGAGACAATGATCAGGTGAGTTCTTCGTACAATCGAACATGAATGAATTTCAGTTTCATGGTTTTTTTCGTTTGTAGATTCATTGGATGTAATCCAAGTACATGTTCACATACTATGTTGCAACACATGGGGTGTTCATTAGTTATGAGGTCACTTTGAAATGACATTATGTTATCAAATCAGGTGACTTTCTCATTGCCTTAGCTACATTTGGACTGAAATACGACAATCCTATTATATCAGTCCATATTTTAATGAGAGGCGCAACTTTATTTGGAAATGTCAACTTTTTTCGGATCACATGATTAATACAATTTTCACGGTGTTTCTCAGTGAAGAACAGTGTCAGTGAAGCAGTCTGAAAGTATTTCCGGCAAAACAAGAGTTCTTCACTCGAGTGAGATATCCACTTTATATTTTCATATAAATATAGTTTATCATCACAAAAAAAATAATCATTTATCCTACTACCCATTTACGAAATTGAATATTAACCTCATTCAATTACTGATGGTATATTTGCTTTTCTCAATTCCATCTTCAAACGGAATACTACTGAATACTCCACCGCCGTTAAAGTGTTTTGAGGAATGGAGGAGCAATGAATTTTCATCATTATCAACGAAAATGTGTTTTGTGTATGTTTATGGCATTGGTAGCTGCAAATGATTATGCATGTTTAAAATTATGTTCAGTGGTGAAAACTGTTCCCCACCACGTTTCAGTTATACACAGTGAAAGAACATGATTTGGGAGAAATCTGTTATATCATATAACGGTTAGTTCCAGGAGTGGGCAACCTGCATTACTGTATACCAATAATAAGTCTTACTGTAGCCGGGACTATTCATGCTTACTTTCATTCCCCTACTTACGGATATAATTTACACTAGCGTTACGACACAAATCTACTTTGACCGTTCACTAAAACCAAACTTATTTTTTAGGTCAAAGGTACACACTGACAACTGGGTTCTATGCACTGTATACGTATGCATGATACTACCAAACACCGCAAAACAGTATGATTGAAACCCGATTTTCCTTCTAGCAGCAGAGTATGGACTTGCCTGAGAGGAGCTCCACACACAACAATGATTTGGGAAATTTAATACCAATATGCAACAAGTTATTTGTTTTTAATAGTTTATTTTCTTGACAAATATGACTCTTAATGATTGAGATATTTATGTGTTTTTGTGCCTAACACAATAAGTGGAAATGTTTGCGGTTGTGAGCATTAGGATGAAGAAGTTAAATCACGTGACGTTACTCCATAACTGAACATAATAATGATAACAGTATGTTCAACTGCTGTATCATTATGTGTTTCATTTTACACATTTTAGATGTAACTTGATAAAGAGGATGAATTAAATTTTATATCAAATTGTCCATTGTACGACCATTTAAGAAATTTTTTATCAAACAATATTACTGGAAAAAGCCCTAGGTATTCAAACGCGTAAGATAATTTAATAAAACGAATCGAATGTAAAACACATGTCTTACCAAGAAGTAATAACCGACCGAGTTCTACTGGTTCATCATGAGATACATCATTTCAACAAATACAAGAAACTCTAGAGAGATGGACTAATAGAGGTTCAGGTTGGGTTGTGGATAGAATTGATACTTCAGTTGATACTTAGATTATTTGCCCTTGAAAGGTCGGTCTTATATAGATCTACCCCCATATTTTAAGAAAAAGCATGCCATAATTAACGTTTAAAATAATGACGATAACTGTTTAAGATGGGCATTAGGATCTGCCTTATTTCCTGCAGATTCTAGTGCAATCTACCAAACTCGCAAATTAATAAGGTAGAAAATCAAAACACTTTGAGGCTCTTATAACAGATTGAAACTACAGAACGCAGTACTGAATTCAGTTATACATATTGAACTCAAGAACACCAGGCTTGTTTCTTTGGATATATAGTTGTTAGATATGATGGAAAACAAATGCTCCAGTGATTTACAGAGGACCCGATGCAGCAAGAAAGTTCCTAGAATCTCTATGAAATGAAGAGAGAATAATCAGTGGAAATTTATCGTATAAGTATTTTATGTCTACGACAAAAGATGATTGGAGAGCAAATAAGAAGGCAACAAGTTGTCATGTTTGTAATATCTTTTTTTTAGTTTGACGTTTACACGATATACGGCTTTTCCACGGGACGACAGGTCGGTTACATGACCGCGAAATTGACGTTCATTTAAGGATTGACTGTGTAATTTTTTTCTGTTCATTGAGGTATGAATAAAAAAAACCCGATGTGTTAACTGTATGAATCCGCGTAGATGCACTGCACGTGCAGCAGCACTATAAACGATATAAACTGCAGGGTTTTTGTTTGCCATGCATCTGTGTCAATCGAACAGTGACAGTTCAACAACATGCCAAGATTAACAGAAGGGCAAAGAAACAAGGTCATAGGCCGCTTGCAGGCAGGGGAATCCCGATCAGCTGTAGCCAGAGTTTTCAATGTAGCGCCCAGTACCATCACAAGCTATGGGATCGGTTTCAAAAGCATGGGTCAACACATGATCGGCCAAGGTCGGGATGAAAAAGACTAACCAACCCCGCCCAGGATTGCTACATCCGACTGCGCCACCTACTTGAAGGGACGACCACAGCCACATAGACCGCATCCCAAATACCCTGAGTGCGCAGAATCTCCGATTAGACCGTACGATACCGTTTAAGAGCAGCAGGTCTACGAGCAAGACGTCCTGTTCGACGCGTCATATTGATTAGACAACATCGTCAACAACCAATGCATTGGTATCGTCAACAAAGGGTATAACCTCAACTGCGATGGAGAGATGAGTGGTTCAGCGACAAATCAAGGGGGTAGCGTTATGAAATTGGCGGCTATCTCTCATCATGGTAGGGCATCATCCAGGGCAATCTTACGGCTAAACGATACATTCTCCTCCCAATTGCAGCCAACGGCAACGGTGTATTCCAGCAGGACAACGCTCGACCGCATACAGCAAGGATCACAAGAGCCTGTCTACACCCTGTCTACAGCAACGTTTATGGTAACAGCAACGTTGATGGTCTCCTATAGAGCATCTGAGCTACGCCGACGTCAATCAAAACCCTAGACCTTGCAGCAGTTGGCTTTTGCATTGCAGGCCAAGTGGGCTACCATTCCCTAGGATGTGATTCGCATACTCGTCTCTTCCATGGGCTGGATATATCAGGCCGCTATTGTGTTCTAAGTGTGCTAAGTGTGCTAAGTGTTCTCTCCCCAACATTTTAGCTCAATTCCTTGTACGGTTCCTCGTTTAAATGTATTTTCCTACCTCACACAACTCTGTCTTTGCGTTTCATTTTTTTGAAGAGTACGAGGTGTGTTCATTAAAGATTTCCCCTAAACCACTTAGGGTTATCACATTTGGTTGAAATTTCACATGTGTAATGATACATGTATCTATGGGTTATGTCTGAATTTGCAGCACCAAACTATTAAGCTTATCACTTTTACAGGTGTTATGATCGAGTAGGGTGTGACAATGGAGCCAGTAGAATACCGAGCAGTGATTAGGTTTTTATATTTGAAAGGTCGCACACCAAAAGAAACTTTCGATGAAATGAAAGCAACTTATGGGGAAGATGCCCCATCATATGACGTTGTTAAACACTGGCATCGCCAGTTCAAGTGTGGTCGGACATCTGTGGAAACAGCTGCCATTCCTGGTCGCCCCCATTCAGCCATTGATGAGGACCCTATCCATCAATTGGAGACCGCCATTTTGGCAGACCGACGTATAACTGTTTCACCAGTTAGCACAAGATGTCAAGATCAGTGTAGGGTTTGTGGAAAAAATCATCCATGACAATTTGAACATGCATAAGGTGTCTCCACGATGGATTCCCAGGTTGCTCACACCTTTCCAAAAGCAGGAACGAGTCAATTGCTCAAAGGAACTTTTGGACATGTGTACAAAAAGACAGGCAAACTTTTTTAACAGACTTATCACACAGGATGAAACATGGGTCCATCACTATGATCCTGAGACTAAAGTTCAGTCGATGCAATGTCCAACCCTCTGCAGGCAAGGTCATGCTCACGGTGTTTTGGGACCAGCACGGAGTAGTGATGATGGATTTCTTGGCAAAGGGTACCACAATTGCAGGAGCTTATTATGCTTCACTGCTGCGGACATTGCGGGACGCTATTGAGCTTAAGAGGCGTGGCATGCTGACCAAGGGTGTCCGTCTCCTGCAAGACAATGCTCCAGTACACAACTCTCATGTTGCCCAGACAGAAGCGCGGTCCTGTGGCTATGAAATCATTCCACATCCTCCTTATTCTCCTGACCTTGCACCATCTGACTTCCACCTCTTTCCAACCATGAAGTCATTTTTGAAGGGAAAACGTTTCACAGATGATGAAACACTGATTTCTGAAGTCAAGTCCTTGTTTGAGACGCAAAATGAGGGCTTTTACAAACGAGGTCTCCATAGTTGCATAAAACGATGGGAGAAGTGTGTAACTCTTGCTGGTTCATATGTGGAGAAAGACTAATTCCTATGCCAAGTTTCATTCCACCAGGTCCATCGGAAGTGGGTCAGGGGAAATCTTTAATGAACACCCCTCGTATATGTACATAATATGTAAAATTCTTAAAGCGACCAGAAAATAGCATTACCCAGTGCACACACAAATTACTTACTGTGCAAATCAAATGCAATTTTAACATTATCATGGGTGGGTGGAGGATGTAATAAATGAATATATTAAAGCGGAAAAAATTGAGCTTGGGTTTGTGGGGGTGGGGTCAAGCGGTTGAAGGCACGGCGTCGGATGGTGAGTGTGTGTTTGACAAGGGCCCTCGGAGCTTCCTGGCTGTGGTTACTTCCTGGTCGCTGATGGGCTGGAACAATCTGCTGGTCAGGTGGGTGGCTGTGTTGGAGATGTAGACCGGACTTGTCTTGATATCACATTCCACCAGGAAGTCAAAGAGGTCCTGGTAACTGTCTGTGGATATCGTGCTCGAACCACTCCTCCCCTATGTACTGTACCGTGACCAGCGGTTGGCCTGGACGTGCGCTCGTGCAGAGCTTCCCAAGGCTGTTGTCGATACGAGGGGCAGGGTGGTCCTTGTGCTGGTCCAGAATCTGGTCAGCTATCTGGGACAAGTCGACACGGGGATCTTCTTTCTCACTTGGTACCTCGACGGGCGCGGTCTGGGTAGTGCTGTCATTGAGAAGGGGGTCTGGTGGTGTGGCGGTCTGGCATACGATGGACTTGGTCGGGGTCGGTGGTCCAGTTCGGGCGGGAGATGGCTTCGGGAGAGGAGATCTCTGGATTCGAGGGAAGCGAGATCTTTCGCTGCGACTGGGTTAATGGGTTAACTAAATCTCCATGAAATGACATGATCTTTGACACAAACTAGCACATCAAGAAACCAGCATATCAGTCATTATATTTTCAGATAACTGACAGGTTCAGAATGATGGATGTGCTATTGATAAGGACTTTACAGATTGATCAGTCTTCTTTACAGGAAAAACTATGTATACAAGAGACAACTCGTCATGAGAAACTCGAGGTCACTCTTCGAATGTCTTACCTTTTCAAATTGCTTTTTATCGGATTGAGGGTGTAATTAACCAGATATGTCACCATAACTTAGGCAAAATTGCAATTTTGAATTGGTATAGCTTAATTGCTCAAAGAAAAAAGATAAAGTTTGACATGATCACAGTTGTTTCTTGCATTTGCATCGATAATGTTGTAACAGTCCGAGTCTGTGACGAGACTGGTTCAATCCCATTGTGACTACATCCCAATTTGCCTACAGAAAATATATGTAGGCACAATGGGAACTCAGTTTCATCCCTGCAGCTTCCGGTATAAAATGTTAGTAACTGAAAAAGAAACTGCGCAGAGGATTGAAATACTTATTACTGTTCAAACAAGCCAGTTCTTAAGCTGAGCAGAGATGTGAATCCGTATGACTGTATATCTTTTAGAGATCAATGCAATTAACATTTGACTGAGTAAAATGTGTAAAATGTATATCACCTCCTTCACTGTAAAGACGTTGTTCCAATGGGGTTGGTGTTTTTGTATATCTACCAGTTTCAATTTTTAGTTTGTGATTACTTTAACGAAGTTTTAAGAAATACACCTATGATCTTTGTTTTTAAAATATGTAAGATAATTCTCAATATTTACAGATGACTTGACCAACCTGCATGTTCTTAACTTGCTGTTGGATGAATGGGAATCCCTTAATCCCTTAATGAATGCGTGAACATATTTTTACATTCGGACTGAAGTTTATTTACAGTGGATTCATTACATTTATTTGTGTTTACTATTTCAAAAGTTTGTTTTGTTTAACCCATCCAACATTTTGACCACATAGATATTTGCTGCCAAAGCATGTTTAAGAATGACATGTGTTGTGTTATCTATATAGGTCTTGTAATCAATTATTTTATATATTATCGGTACTTATAGTGGGTATATACCATGTTCTGCCTGACAGGCCCAGTTATGGGTTTTCTTGGCTTGGTTTTACTTGTGCTTACCATATAAAGACACCCTGTTATTTTTGTTGTGCTTTCCAAAGATAACTGCATTGATAACAACCAATTTGTTCTTTACACCAATCCTCTCCTCCCATTACTAACACTTTCCTCCTCCGTATGTGACATTATATGGCGGGGAACTATTGATGCACTGCAGCAATCTCTACATGTCTATGTATTGTATGTTGTATTGTATGTTGTATTGTATGTTGTATTGTATGTTGAAAATTAAACAATAAGTAGACATTCCTTTTTCTTGTACAATTAATAAAAACAAATTTATATATGGCAAATGTTAAGCAACTCTTAGTTAATCGGTATTCAGCTTTTAGTCTTTGACGGTAATTTGGGAAATACAAAGTAATTCCTAGAATTTGCCGAAACAAATGCAAATACCATTGAAGGGGACAATGACATTTTATTTCATGGAAGGTCACCGAGTTCAAACTTAAATATATATATATATATATATATATAGAGAGAGAGAGAGAGAGAGAGAGAGAGAGAGAGAGAGAGAGAGAGAGAGAGAGAGAGAGAGAGAGAGAGAGAGAGAGAGAGAGAGAGAGAGAGAGAGAGAGAGAGAGAGAGAGAGAGAGAGAGAGAGAGAGAGGGATATTTCACGAGACACATGAAGTATCCTATTTATTATATACTTTCTGTGTAGTTGTCTGCCGGAAAAATAAGTATTTCATTACAAATGTAAAACCTTGAAACGTAAATGCCCCCTCCCTAAACACGCAGGGATGTTTCACCACCCCTTGCATTTGCGACTTAAAAGGTAGTTCCATGGTTTCAAAATCTTAGAACATATAAACAAAAGTAACCAAAACAATTGAGATAAAAAAAATTACTGTCTCGATTGACGGGTTAATGATAAATTTACAGGTTATAACGAAACGTTTTCGAGAGCATTCCAAACGACAAGAAACGATATCAAGCCCATAAATGTTATTAATTTCCCTTGGCAATGAGGAACTAATGTAAACAAGAAGTCATCAGTTTGTGTACGGGCTAGACACTTACGATAAAGGGAGACCATTTGCGGGGAGGTAACTGGGAGGTGGCTATAGTTCCGTCAAAGTATTATATCATGTAAAATATCAAGTGTTATGTTCACAGCAGTGAAATATCAAGTGTGATGTTCACTGCAATGAGCATATCTCTTTTCACAACTTCAGAAAACTCAGTCTTTCACACGTATACATAAAAAATCTATATGCAATATGTCATTACAGTATCATAAATTTCAGAATGGTATTTGCACACCACATCCTACTCTGCTTCGTTCTTGTTTCCGAACATGTACATGGTAAGCTGTGGAATATGCGTGAAACGGTTCCTTTGGTGCCCCTGGCGCTTCAGACGCCACCAGGTAAGTAACACTGATATCATTACCCACCTACTCCTTTATGGTAGTATGCAGTAATAGTGATAGTCCACTCTCTGTCTTTATTCATATGCTCTCCCTTCCAGCTAAACTGTTACATCGGGTGTCTTTGCTACATCCTCTCTCAGGCATTGGAATATTATTTTCGTCATCTAACGATTGATTAATAGTTCGTCTTAGTCAGTGACTTGTGTTTTAACGTCGGTTTAAATAGTAGTTCAGTTTTATCACGGCGTGTCTGCTGAATGTGGGAGTAAAGATAGAAGTCATGTAGGCTTTAGACGTTTTAGGTTTTCAACTACTCACGAGCCTAGGATTCTTGCGCTACAAAGCGAATTGTGGCACCTTTGTCAACTGGGCCACCCACGCTCTCGAACAGTGCCTAAAGAACTGTATCTAATTACCCAGTGTTATTAAACCAATGTGTCTTTAGCTACTTTTACAAGTGTCTATATATTTATGCATCGTTAATTAAATTGGAATGGTTCTGATAACTGATCTATTTGTCTGTTTTATTTTTATAAATAACCAGTAAATATTTCCACTATTTAGATATTTCGTCTTCCCACAGAGGGGCTTTGTGCTTTTGTTCAGGTGTTGGTACCCAACCTTTAAAGTTACGTACCAACACCTGAACAACAGCACAAAGCCCCTCTGTGGCGGACACGTGTGTTGTGGCACTTATTGAATAACATGTAATTGTATCAGACGTTCATACGAATATAATGTTAATGTGTCTTATCATTTATTATGCATGTCAGCACCACGGATCCTGTGCAAGTATTCGATTAAATGTTGCCAGAATGCATGCTGCAAGCTGATTCCGGTTCCTGCAAGTCGTACGTGAAGAGGTTTTTCTTCGACAATGCCACCGGTCTGTGCGAGCCTTTTGGATACGGAGGATGTGAAGGGAACGCCAACCGGTTCATGACCAAAGAAGAATGTCTGGGAAGATGTTACTGCACTGAGCAAAGTGGGTTCAACTCCGACTTAGGCCCATGTTTTACACAGGTGTATTAATATACTCTTCAAAACGTTGGGGGTACTCGAAAATAACTTAAACTTTCCAAAATTGTAAGAGATACTAGTTTTTTTGTAAGAGTTGTAAGATAATGAACGAACGAATCGACTTCAGAAAAGTAGAGAAATATGGCAGTAGATGTTATAACCGCCAACGATCTTGAAGGACGTAGTCACATCTGTCTATGACCTCACATACACACCCATTGTTAGTCATATCTGTCGCTAACTTCTCATACACATCCATTGTTAGTCATATCTGTCACTCTCTCCTCATACACACCCATTGTTAGTCATATCTGTCGCAAACTTCTCATACACACCCATTGTTAGTCATATCTGTCGCTAACCTCTCATACACATCCATTGTTAGTCATATCTGTCACTCTCTCCTCATACACACCCATTGTTAGTCATATCTGTCGCTAACTTCTCATACACACCCATTGTTAGTCATATCTGTCGCTAACTTCTCATACACACCCATTGTTAGTCATATCTGTCGCTAACTTCTCATACACACCCATTGTTAGTCATATCTGTCTATGACCTCACATACACACCCATTGTTAGTCATATCTGTCGCTAACTTCTCATACACACCCATTGTTAGTCATATATGTCGCTAACTTCTCATACACATCCATTGTTAGTCATATCTGTCTATGACCTCACATACACACCCATTGTTAGTCATATCTGTCAATCACTTCACATATACAACCATTGCTAGTCATATCTGTCACTCTCTTCACATACACGCCCATTGTCAGCTATATCTGTCAATAACTTCACTTACACGCCCATTGTAAGTCGTATCTGCCACTCACTTCACATACACACCCATTGTTAGTCATGTATGTCACTCTCTTCACATACAGACCCAGTGTCAGCCATATCTGTCAATCTGTTCACATATCAACCCATTGTTAGTCATATCTGTCACTCTCTTCACATATACACCCATTGAAAGTCATATCTGTCAATCACTTCACATATACACCCATTGCAATCATATCTGTCACTCTCTTCACATATACACCCATTGTTAGTCATATCTGCCACTCACTTCACATACAAGCCCATTGTTAGTCCTATCTGCCACTCACTTCACATACACATCCATTGTTAGTCATATCTGCCACTCACATAACATACACACCCATTGTTAGTCATATCTGCCACTCACTTCACATACACACCCATTGTTAGTCATATCTGCCTCTCACTTCACATACACGCCTATTGTTAGTCATATCTGCCTCTCACTTCACATACACGCCCATTGTTAGTCATGTTTGTCACTCTCTTCACATACACACCCATTGGCAGCCATATTTGTCAATCACTTCAGACATACACCCATTCTTAGTCATATCTGTCACTCTCTTAACAAACACATTCATTGTTAGTCATATCTGCCACTCAATTCACATATACGCCCATTGTTAGTCATGTATGTCACTCTTTTCACATACAGACCCAGTGTCAGCCATATCTGTCAATCTGTTCACATATCAACCCATTGTTAGTCATATCTGTCACTCTCTTCACATATACACCCATTGAAAGTCATATCTGTCAATCACTTCACATATACACCCATTGCAATCATATCTGTCACTCTCTTCACATATACACCCATTGTTAGTCATATCTGCCACTCACTTCACATACAAGCCCATTGTTAGTCCTATCTGCCACTCACTTCACATACACATCCATTGTTAGTCATATCTGCCACTCACATAACATACACACCCATTGTTAGTCATATCTGCCACTCACTTCACATACACACCCATTGTTAGTCATATCTGCCTCTCACTTCACATACACGCCTATTGTTAGTCATATCTGCCTCTCACTTCACATACACGCCCATTGTTAGTCATGTTTGTCACTCTCTTCACATACACACCCATTGGCAGCCATATTTGTCAATCACTTCAGACATACACCCATTCTTAGTCATATCTGTCACTCTCTTAACAAACACATTCATTGTTAGTCATATCTGCCACTCAATTCACATATACGCCCATTGTTAGTCATATCTGTCAATCACTTCACATACACGCCCATTGTTAGTCATATCTGTCACTCTCTTCATGTATACACGGACCGCCTCCGTGGTCTTGTGGTAGAGCGTCCGCCCGGAGAGCGGAAGGTCCAGGGTTTGATCCCGGGCCGCGTCATACAAAAAGACGTTAAAAGATTGTACTTGTTGTTACCCTGTCTGGCGCTCGGCATTAAGGGGCTAAAACAAGGACTGGTCGGCTCGGAGTCAGTATACTGTGTCTGAGTGGGGTATTCATGTTAAACTGCGGCATGATATCTCAGTGAGCTAGCACTATAAATCGGCATCAGTCCGGACTAGTACAAGCAGCCACACACACACATACACGTGCATGCACGTCGCTATATAAGTGCAATAATCTTGGACGCGACGTTAAACCCAATTTCACCTCACCTCACCTCATATATACACCCATTGTAAGTCATATCTGTCAATCACTTCACATATACAACCATTGCTAGTCATATCAGTCACTCTCTTCACATATACACCCATTGTTAGTCATATCTGTCACTCTCTTCACATACACACCCATTGTTAGTCATATCTGCGACTTACTTCACATACACGCCCATTGTTAGTCATATCTCCCTCTCACTTCACATACACGCCCATTGTTAGTCATGTATGTCACTCTCTTCACATACACACCCATTGACAGCCATATCTGTCAATCACTTCACATATACACCCATTGTTAGTCATATCTGTCACACTCTTCACATACACATTCATTGTTAGGCATATCTGCCTCTCAATTCACATAAACGCCCATTGTTAGTCATATCTATCAATCACTTCACATACACGCCCATTGTTAGTCATATCTGTCACTCTCTTCATATATACACCCATTGGAAGTCATATCTGTCAATCACTTCACATACACACCCATTGTTAGTCATATCTGCCACTCACTTCACATACACGCCCATTGTTAGTCATATCTGCCACTCACTTCACATACACATCCATTGTTAGTCATATCTCCCTCTCACTTCACATATGCACCCATTGTTAGTCATATCCGTCACTATCTTCACATATACACCCATTGCAAGTCATATCTGTCAATCACTTCAGATATACACCCATTGTTAGTCATATCTGTCACTCTCTTCACATACACACCCATTGTTAGTCATATCTGCCACTCACTTCACATACACGCCCATTGTTAGTCATATCTGCCACTCACTTCACATACCCATCCATTGTTAGTCATATCTGCCTCTCACTTCACATACACGCCCATTGTTAGTCATGTATGTCACTCTCTTCACATACACACCCATTGACTGCCATATCTGTCAATCACTTCACATATACACCCATTGTTAGTCATATCTGTCACTCTCTTCACATACACATTCATTGTTAGGCATATCTGCCACTCAATTCACATATACGCCCATTGTTAGTCATATCTATCAATCACTTCACATACACGCCCATTGTTAGTCATATCTGTCACTCTCTTCACATACACGCCCATTGTTAGTCATATCTGCCACTCACTTCACATACACATCCATTGTTAGTCATATCTCCCTCTCACTTCACATACACACCCATTGTTAGTCATATATGTCACTCTCTTCACATACATGCCCATTGTTAGTCATGACACTCACTCACTTCACATACACACTCATTGTTAGTGATATCTGCCAATCACTTCACATATACGCCCATTGTTAGTCATATCTGTCACTCTTTTCACATACACATTCATTGTTATTCATATGTGCCACTCTCTTCACATACACGCCCATTGTCAGCCATATCTGTCAATCACTTCACATACACGCCCATTGTTAGTCATGTCTGTCACTCTCTTCACATTAACGCCCATTGTTAGTCATGTCTGTCACTCTCTTCACATACACACCCATTGTTAGTCATATCTGCCACTCACTTCACTTATACGCCCATTGTTAGTCCTATCTGCCACTCATTTCACATACACATCCATTGTTAGTCATATCTGCCCCTCACTTCACATACACGCCCATTGTCAGCCATATCTGTCAATCACATCACATACACACCCATTCTTAGTCATATCTGCCACTCACTTCACATACACACCCATTGTTAGTCATATCTGCCACTCACATAACATACACGCCCATTGTTAGTCATATCTGCCACTCACTTCACATACACACCCATTGTTAGTCATATCTGCCTCTCATTTCACATACACGCCTATTGTTAGTCATATCTGCCAATCACTTCACATATACGCCCATTGTTAGTCATATCTGTCACTCTTTTCACATACACATTCATTGTTAGTCATATCTGCCACTCTCTTCACATACACGCCCATTGTCAGCCATATCTGTCAATCACTTCACATACACGCCCATTGTTAGTCATGTCTGTCACTCTCTTCACATTAACGCCCACTGTTAGTCATGTCTGTCACTCTCTTCACATACACACCCATTGTTAGTCATATCTGCCACTCACTTCACATACACGCCCATTGTTAGTCATATCTGCCACTCACTTCACATACACATCCATTGTTAGTCACATCTGCCTCTCACTTCACATACACGCCCATTGTCAGCCATATCTGTCAATCACATCACATACACGCCCATTGTTAGTCATATCTATCAATCACTTCACATACACACCCATTGTTAGTCATATCTGTCACTCTCTTCACATACACGCCCATTGTTAGTCATATCTGCCACTCACTTCACATACACATCCATTGTTAGTCATATCTCCCTCTCACTTCACATACACACCCATTGTTAGTCATATATGTCACTCTCTTCACATACATGCCCATTGTTAGTCATGACACTCACTCACTTCACATACACATTCATTGTTAGTCATATGTGCCA